GTCTGTTTTGTCTGATTATTATAGCCACTGCAGCTTTCTTAAGATCAGAGTTTGCACAGTGGATCTCTTTTCATTCTATTACTTTCAACCTATGTGTGCCTTTATTTTTAATGAGGGTTTCTTTTAGGGAGCATATAATGGGAACTTGATTGTTACCCAGGCTGATCATTTCTGCCTTTTCATTCAATAATTTAGTTTATTTACATTTAATATAATATTAATATATCTGGATTTAGCAAAGCAGTTCTGCCATTTGCTTTCTATTTGTGTCATCTGTTTTTTGTTTCTCTGTTCTTTATTTCTTGCCTTTATTTGGATAATCAAATATGTTAAGTAGGATTTCATTTGATTTCTCTATTAGCTTTTTAGCTACATCTTTTTATATTTTCTTTTTGTTAGTGGTTGCTTCAGAGGTTACAATGTGTATTGATAATTTATCACAATTTACAGTTTACTTTAGGTAAAATACAAGAACCTTGAATGTATAACTTAATTTGTCCCTTTCCTCTGTGTTATAATTGTCATAGAGAACAACTACATATGATATAAACCCCACAATGGAGTGTTACAAAGTTTTTGTTAAATAGTTTTATGTATTTAAAATAAATTAAGAGAAGAAAAGGAAAAATACAGTTTTTTTATAATTACTTGCATATTTATCATTTTAAGTGATATTTACTCCTTCTAATAGATCCACATATACCATCTGATATTAATTCCTTTCATCCTGAAGAACTCCTTTAGCATTTCTCATAGTGTAGACAGAAAACTTCATCAGGTTTTGTTTACACACAAAATGTCTTTATTCCACCTTCAGTTTTTAAAAATAGTTTTGCTGGAGATAGAATTATGGGCTGATAGGGTTTCCCGCCCAGCATATTAAAAATGTCATTCCATTGTCTCCTGGCTGCCATTGTTATTGATGAGAAGTCAGTCATCATCCATGCCCTTGTTCTCTGAATATAATATGTAGTTTTTCTCTGACTGCTTCCAAGATTTTCTCTTTACTTCTTTTAACAGTTTAACCATGACATACCTATCTTGGCTTTCTTTGTATTCTTTTTAGGATTTGTTGAGATTTTTGGACCTCTAAGTTGATATCCATCACCCAATGTAGAGATGTTTGGCCATTTTTCAATATTTTTTTTCTCTTACATTCTTTTTGTCTTCTGGGACTCTGTTTACATATATATTAGACAGTGTGTTCTATCCATGTTTCTTCATATATTTTCTCCTCATTCTTCAGATTGGGTAAATGCTTTTTTTCTATCTTTAAGTTCACTAACTCTTTCCATTATCTCTGACCAGCTGTTGCGTGCATCTAGTTAAGTTTTTACTTCAGTTATTGCTCCAGAATTTTTATTTGGTTCACTTTTTGTTTTAGACGGAGTCTCACTCTCACCCAGGCTGTAGTGCAGTGGCACGATCTCGGCTCACTGAAAGCTCCGCCTCCTGGGTTCATGCCATTCTCCTGCCTCAGCCTCTTGAGTAGCTGGTACCACAGGTGCCCACCACCACGCCCGGCTAATTTTTTGTATTTTTAGTAGAGACGGGGTTTCACCGAGTTAGCCAGGATGGTCTCGATCTCCTGACCTTGTGATCCGCCCGTCTCGGCCTCCCAAAGTGTTGGGATTACAGGTGTGAGCCACTGCACCCGGCCTGATTCACCTTTTATACTTTATGTTTCTTGGTTGAGATTCCCATATGTTCATTCATTATGTATATAACTTCCTTTAAGTTCTTCAAGTTATTTTTAGTAGCTGCTTTAGTCCTTGTATGCTATCTATGTAATCTGGATTATCTTGGGTTTGGTTATAATTAACTGCTTTTCTTTTTTCCTTTTATTTGTTACTCTTTCTCTTGAGTGTAGGTACACTTTCCTGTTTCTTTTCCTAGCTCATGATTTTTACTGGGTCCTGGACATCGTTAATGATGTGTTATAGAATCTGTAGATTCAGCTGAGTTCCCCTGAAGGCAAGTGACTTGGCTAGATTCAAACTCTCCCTCCTGCAACAGGCAGCAGCTGAAGTCTTCACTTAATTTTTTTATCTTTGCACTGCTGGTTTTTCCCCAAGATCCCTGGTATCTCCCCCACACCTTTGTGGTGTAGTTGCTTAGCCAAAGATTCAGGTGTATTTTGTAGGAAGATTTGGGGGCTCACCCCTTCTGTGGCTCTCTCTTCCAGAATCTCCACACCCCAGCATTCAGGACTCTGTCCTTTGACCCTTCAGGATAATGAGGCTGATGCTTTCTGGCACCCAAGCATTTGTGGATTGGGGCGTGCCCGCAGGCAAAAAGCCACAGACTCATTGGTCTGACCTATAAGACAGCACATGGTAAATAGTGTGTTAAATTAGGGGAAAAGGCTGGGCGCAGTGGCTCATGCCTGTAATCCCAGCACTTTGGGAGGCCGAGGCAGGCAGATCACCTGAGGTCAAGAGTTTGAGACCAGGCTGACCAACGTGGTGAAGCCCTGACTCTACAAAAATACAAAAATTAGCCAGACATGATGGTGGGTGCCTGTAATCTCATCTATTCAGGGGGCTGAGGCGGGAGAATCACTTGAACCTGGGAGGCAGAGGTTGCAGTGAGCCAAGATCATGCCATTGCACTCCAGGCTGGGCGACAGAGCAAGACTTCATCTCAAAAAATAATAATAATAATAAATAATAAAAATAAATTAGGGGAACACATTCATGTATAAATGCTTGTGATGTGGAATAACTTGCATTTTGGAAGGTGCATTCTGGCCATGGTGGACAGACCACGGTCTCACCATTAACACTCTCACGGCCTCTTCTTACTTAAATAAGATGTGGAGTTTGGAGCAAAATTATTTCCACCTGTGGAACAAGGACCTGGTCTTGGTCAAGTCAGCATTCTCGCTTTATCACTGGTGGACTCCTTTCACAAAGAGGTCTAGTCAAATCATCTCCTTCTAGTATCACTGACGCTACCCACTTGGCTTCAGATGGGAACAGCATGGTGGATGGTGGGCAAATGACTGATTTAAACATTTAAAGGAAACTGAATACAAGCAGCTTCCAACAGAAAAATTCCAAAGGTCAGGTCTGTCAAAGACAGAAAGAATGAGTTGAGTACTCAGGAAATACACTATGGGAAATTTACAATCTTTTGAAAGAATGGAAGGTAGGAGGTGCAGGCTGTGTAAGGTTTAGTTAACGCCCCAGCCAATCACCGTGTGGCTCTGGGGCCATCTAGTGGTGAGAAGTGAGTCAGGCTCACACAGAACAGAAAAATCCCGAGGCACTGGCCACGGGTCTCTGGGTCGCACCAAAGGTATTCGGGAGGGGAACTGGGGGTGGGGTGGTGGTGGTCAGAGAATAGTCCCCAACAATACAGATGTGATTGATCCGGCACACTGGAATTCAAACACACACATCCCTTTCTGCTTTCCTTAGGTAAATTAGTTTAATCTATTATAAGTTTGGCTTTTCGTTTTTGTCTTTTGGTTTTTTTTTTGAGACGAGTCTCGCTCTGTTGCCCAGGCTGGAGTGCAGTGGCGTGATCTCGGTTCACTGCAAGCTCCGCCTCCCGGGTTCACACCATTCTCCTGCCTCAGCCTCCTGAGTAGCTGGGACTACAGGCGCCCGCCACCTCGCCCGGCTAATTTTTTTATTTTTAGTAGAGACGGGGTTTCACCGTGTTAGCCAGGATGGTCTCGATCTCCTGACCTCGTGATCCGCCCGCCTCGGCCTCCCAAAGTGCTGGGATTACAGGCGTGAGCCACTGCGCCCGGCTTTTCATTTTTAAAAGGCTTAAATTTTTTTTTCACTCATTCTAAGAGATAAAAACTCTGGAGGTGATAGAGAAACAGAAAAGTTCTAGCAAATGTCTATTGTGTTCTATGTCATGTGCACCACGATGTATGCCTGAGGTTCAGTCCTCACTGCCCCAAGCAGGCAGGAGCCGTGGAGACCCCACACTGGGTGGGTGACATGCTCAGAGCTGGTGCCAGGACGGGGGACTGGTGTGCCTGATCACAAAGCCACCTCCCTACCTAAGTGTGTGCACTTAACTATGTCTCAAATGCTCGACATAGCCGATTGTTTATTTAAAAGTGAAGACTGTTTGACTTTTAGCACTTTCATGGAACAGATTTATATTCTCTGCCACGATATTAAATGAGTCGTTTTATATAGAATTTTTAAACTACCTCTTTGAAAGATGTATGCCTCTGACAGCAAAGAAATACATGTTTACACTTTCTTGTGGGCAAAGATGGCTTTGAACAGAAGGCGGTTTTTACTTACTGCCAAAATCCGTGAGGGCTTTTATCCAGCCCAGGATAAAACGTACCATTTCTTTGCTCCCTCTGCAGATCACCTTTTCTCTTGCTAGCCAGTGGTTCTCACGCTGCCCCCAGGGGTCACTTGGCAATAGCTGAACACATTTGTGATTGCCACAGCTTGCAGGGGGAGTGCTCCTGGCATGGAAGGGGTGCAGGCCAGGGAGGCTGCTCAGCACCCTGCAGTGCCCAGGATGGGCCTCCAACAGCAAAGAAGTATCCAGCTCAAATGTCAATGGTGCCACAGTGGGGACACCCAGCCTTAGAGTATCTCCCGTTGTCGTTTGGGGTGCAGTAGCTCCCCAGATGGCAGTCACCCACCCAGAGCTTTTGATTTGCTGGAGAAATGAGTAAACAATTGAGCCCTTCAGAATAGTTCAACCTGCTCAGACTTGGGCACAGATCCATTGTCCCGGCCTTCTGTTGAGGAATTCCTGCCATTGTGCGGTGACAGAGCTCTTTTTGGGGTTTATATTTGGAAAACTTTCTCTGGCCCCTCTCTCCTTGTGTGGGACAGTTATGCAGCCTGTTCCCACAGCTCCTCACTTAGGCAGTACCACCAGGGTCTCTGCCTTTCAACTTCGAAGAATGTAGCTGGTTACTCCTTCCCTCCCGTGAACTTGTTAGTTGCCTCTTGGGGTTTCAGTGCTCGCAACCCTTGCCCACCCAATCTCTCTCCGCCTTTCTTTAGACCTGAGCATGCAGAATTCCGAGGGTGGAGCGGATTCGCCAGCATCCGTGGCTCTGCGTCCCTCAGCGGCAGCCCCTCCTGTGCCAGCCTCCCCGCAGGTAATGTGCACCCACCCGCCGGTCAGCCTCTCAGCAACAACAGGGTGGCCACAGCATGGACGCGATCCCTTTGGGTTTGAAGGCTGCTCGGATCTGCAGAGAGAGAAATCTGTATTTTTCTGAATGGACTTCTCAGCCCCAATGCTGCTGCTGTTGAAATAGGCACAACTGGCCGGGCGCGGTGGCTCACGCCTGTAATCCCAGCACTTTGGGAGGCCGAGGCGGGCGGATCACGAGGTCAGGAGATCGAGACCATGGTGAAACCCCGTCTCTACAAAAAATAGAAAAAATTAGCCGGGCGCGGTGGCAGGCGCCTGTATTCCCAGCTACTTGGGAGGCTGAGGCAGGAGAATGGCGTGAACCCGGGAGGCGGAGCTTGCAGTGAGCCAAGATTGCGCCACTGCACTCCAGCCTGGGCGAGAGAGCAAGACTCCGTCTCAATAAAAAAAAAAAAAAAAAAAAAAAAAGAAATAGGCACAACTTCCTTGACTGTAGTTGGCTTTTTCAATCTTTGTTAAAAAGATCCCATTGGCCGGGCGCGGTGGCTCAAGCCTGTAATCCCAGCACTTTGGGAGGCCGAGACGGGCGGATCACGAGGTCAGGAGATCGAGACCATCCTGGCTAACCCGGTGAAACCCCGTCTCTACTAAAAAAATACAAAAAAACTAGCCGGGCGAGGTGGCGGGCGCCTGTAGTCCCAGCTACTCGGGAGGCTGAGGCAGGAGAATGGCGTGAACCCGGGAGGCGGAGCTTGCAGTGAGCTGAGATCCGGCCACTGCACTCCAGCCTGGGCGACAGAGCGAGACTCCGTCTCAAAAAAAAAAAAAAAGATCCCATCAAGGAAATGATGTCACGAATGGAAAAGAAACCACTGCCCCAAATCTTCCTTGGTCTCTTCTCAGCCTTCAGTAGAGGTTTTCTTGTACTTGGAAATGACTCTTTTACACAGAAGTGCCTTATTAAGAAGGCAGGCCGGGTGCAGTGGCTCACGCCTGTAATCCCAGCACTTTGGGAGGCTGAGACTGGCAGATTACTTGAGGCCAGGAGTTTGAGACCAACCTGGACAACATAAACAGACCCTTTCTCTAAAACAAACAAAAAAAATTAGCCAACCGTGGTGGCCTGCACCTGTAGTCCCACTCCTTAGAAGGCTGAGATGGGAGGATTTCCTGAGCCTGGGAGGTTGAGGCTGCAGTAAGCCATGATTGTGACACTGCATTCCAACCTGGGTGACAGAGACCTTGTCTTTAAAAAATAAAAAATAAAAAAATTAGCCAGGCATAGTGGTGCACGTCCTGTGGTCCCAGCTACTGAGGAGGCTATGGTGGAAGGATTGCTTGAGCCCAGTGTGAGCTATAATCATACCACTGCTCTCCAGCCTAACCGATAAAAAAAAGAAAAGAAAGGCCAGGCGTGGTGGGTCACGCCTGTAATCCCAGCACTTTGGGAGGCCGAGGCGGGCGGATCACAAGGTCACGAGATTGAGACCATCCTGGCAAACACGGTGAAACCCTGTCTCTACTAAAAAAAAAAAAAAAAAAAAAAAAAAAATTAGCTGGGCGTGGTGGTGGGCGCCTGTAGTCCCAGCTTCTAGGAAGGCTGAGGCAGGAGAGTGGCATGAACCCGGGAGGTGGAGCTTGTAGTGAGTGGAGATCACGCCACTGCACTCCAGCCTGGGTGACAGAGCGAGACTCCGTCTTAAAAAAAAAAAAAAAAGGCAAAAGATGAGTTAGAATTCTTTCTTTCTTTCTTTCTTTTTTATTTTTTTGGAGATGGAGTCTCGCTCTGTTGCCCAGGCTGGAGTGCAGTGGCACAATCTCCCAGGTTCAAGCGATTCTTCTGTCTTAGCCTCCTGAGTAGCTGGGATTACAGGCATGTACTACCACGCCCGGCTAATTTTTGTATTTTTAGTAGAAACAAGGTTTCACCATGTTGGCCAGGCTGGTCTTGAACTCCTGACCTCAGGTGATCCGCCCGCCTCGGCCTCCCAAAGTGCTGGGATTACAGACATGAGCCACCACGCCCAGCCTAGATGAGTTAGAATTCTTAAGATTTGGTTCAAAATGGAATCTAGCACCTGAATGAATATATTCTTTAAACTTTGTAGAGAGAGAATTTTCACATTAAGGCTCTCTCTGCTCCTGGATTTCTACCATGGAATGAAATAAGCCATAAAAAAGACAGAAATACCAAGTGAATGGCACTGGCCACATGAAACAGGCTGGAGGCTCATCACGTGTGCTGAGGTCCACTGTGGCCATGTGACCACCTCAATCTGGAATCTAAAAGTTAGGAGCACAGCAAAAAGAAATGATTATGGTTTAAAAACATATAATTCGGAGACCAAGGGCTAAAGCTGGGAGACTGAAAAAATGCAGACTACCGGGGCATTACTCATTTCTCCAGCTCTGATCCGCTGTACCAGGGGTCTAATCAGGCCTGTGTCTGCCTCCTTCTTGAATAGCCCAGTGAATTCATCTAAACAGCCTTCCTACAGCAGCTTCCCACTCCAGGTGGCCAGACGGGAGTTCCAGACCAGTGTTGTCTCCCGGGACATTGACACAGCAGCCAAGTTTATTGGTGCTGGGGCAGCCACAGTTGGTGTGGCTGGTTCAGGGGCTGGCATTGGAACGGTGTTTGGCAGCTTGATCATTGGCTATGCCAGGAACCCATCTCTCAAGCAGCAGCTCTTCTCCTATGCCATTCTGGGCTTTGCCCTGTCTGAGGCCATGGGGCTCTTCTGTTTGATGGTCGCCTTCCTCATCCTCTTCGCCATGTGAGGCTCCGTGGGGGTCACCTGCCTGTTGCCGCTGTGACTCCACGCCATTCCTGGTGCTGGGGTGTACTAAGCTTTACCATTAAACACAATGTTTCTCTAAAAAATAATAATAATAATAATAATAATAATAATAATAATAAAAACATATAATTCAGGGCCGGGCACGGTGGCACATGCCTGTAATCCCAGCACTTTGGGAGGCCGAGGTGGGTGGATCACCTGAGGTCAGGAGTTTGAGACCAGCCTGACTAACATGGTGAAAAACCTTGTCTCTACTAAATACAAAAAAATTAAGAAAAGAAAATTAGCTAGGCGTGGTGGTACATGCCTGTAATCCCAGCTACTCGGGAGGCTGAGGCAGGAGAATCTCGAATCCGGGAGGTGGAGGTTGCAGTGAACTGAGATCATGCCACTGCACTCCAGCCTGGACAGCAAGGGACAACACGAGTGAAACTGTGTCTCAAAAAAAAACCAAAAAACAAAAAAAACTCAATTCAGCAAAAACCAAAAGGCAGACAGTGAAGCGATTTATTTGATGTAGCATGTATAGTCAGGAATCTTTACCTTTTATTTCTTGCACATATGGCAGTGGGGAGGGCGTCTCGGAAGCCCATCTTAGGTGAGGATCAGGTGCCGTCGCCCCGCCAGCAGTTGTGGCCTAATTGATGTTTCCTTGCGCACTTGAAAGTGTCCAAGAGGAGTCAGCCCTCAGGTCTTCCTGCCAAGCCCCTCTCTCAGGCTCTCCCAGGCCTACATGGACTCTGTCTTCCTCTGCAGCAGCCACCGGGAACAGGTCTCAGTGCCACTCACGGCCACCACGTCCATCCCAGGTTTCATCACTGTGGTCCCTCTCTGAGGACCTGCCAGGACCCTGTGAATTCTCCAAGCACACAGCACCCAGCTCACCTGGAATCGGAATGCCCTTGCACTGGTGTCCTTATTAGCACCATCTTCATCCTTAGCTCCATTCCTGCAACACCGGGGATGGTGTGTCCTCACCCATCACCCCTTGTGACGTATATATGGCAGTCACTGCTACCTGTGACATTCACGGTTCATGCCAGGAAATCACAGCACTGCAGCCAATGACTCCTAAAGCCCCAGCTCTCAATAAACACACAAAACACTCCTGTTCCTCCCTCGACACGAGTTCACTTTGACCCTTCCCGTTTTCATAGCTTTGTGTGGCCAATCAGTACTCCCAGAAAAATAGCAAAGTCACACTGTGCAGACTTGACTTAGGAGGCCGGAGAGCAGTGGGGTCAGAGAGCGAGCGACGCAGATACAGGGCACCTGCACTCGAGTATTCTGTAGCTAGAAGCAGTACTTGAGCCCTCTGACTTCATTAACCTCATTAGAAAATGGAAACAAGTCCAGGCTATACTGCAGAATCGAGGGGGGCCACCTAGTGCTCTCCCAGGCAGTGGTGCGGACGGCTGTCCAGAGGGCCCCAGCAGTCCCCTCTGTACTAGGGACGGTCAGTGTCACTTTGCTGCAGACGACAGACCCACAGAGGCAAAGCTGCCTGGGCGGGTGAAGGTGCATGGGCTTCTGTGTATGTGTGTGTGCATACGTGTGTGTGTGCCCACAAATTTGTGCATATGTGTGGTGCTTGGGGTGAGTGTATGTGCACACTTATGTATGTATGTGCATTGTTTGTGTGCCTGCACATACCTGCCGTGTGTCTGCCCAGGTCAGTGTGAGTGTGCAAGTCTGACCATCACCCCACCGTCCCCTCTGATCAGTCCTGCCTGTGTTTTAATAAAGAGCATGTGAACAGACAAACAGCCTCTTACATTCTGTGTGTGTCCTCAGCACTGACCTCTGACAAGTCTAACTGGCCTTCTCTCCCTTCCCTTTTAGAGGGTGTTGGTCCAGGCAGCCAGCTCCGCTCCCAAAGGGGCCCAGATGCAGCCGATCTCCCTCCCCAGAGTTCAGCAGGTACCCCAGCAGGTAATGACAAGCACCGCAGCACCATGCACACCAGGGCGCAGTTAGCACTCAGCGATCTGGAACAATCTCTGAAGCATGCATCCTTTTCTGTGGCTGCTGTTCCTTGTTGTAAGCTTCAGTTTCTTAGCCAAAAGGCTTTTCCAGAAGCTGTACAATTAAAAGAAAAAAATCATTTACTGCAGATAGTTTTGCAACAAGCCAAGAAAGCTGGTGATCTTTCATTCATTCAGAAATTCAACAAGCATTCCGGAGCCGGTGAGCACCCCACGCCTGTGGGTGGAGCTCAGGTAGAAATGCAGACAGAAACAAAAGGCTCTGGACTGGAGGAGCCATCTGCTAGTGATTGCCATACCCTCGGATGCAGGCACAACGGAGGGAATGCTGCTGACGATTTCAATGATCTAAGAACAGAGTTTGAAAGCACGGCTGACCAGCCGAGTAGCAACACAGATCATCAGCTTGGGGGCAGTCTAGAACATGGTTAGCAAACTGTTCCAGAAAAGGCCAAATTATACATTTTGGGGGGTTTGTGGTCCAGGCAGTCTCTGGAACAACCACTCCATTCTGCCATTGTATTGCAAAAGCAGCCATAAATGATATGCAACCAAATAGGCGTGGCTGTGTGCCAATAAAACTTTATTTACAAAAACAGGCAGTGGGCCAGAGTTTACCAACTCTGCCCTGCAGAATCCTGAATTAAAGTTAACTCAGGCTCCTCCCTAAAAGGAGCCCTGAGGCCCTAGAGGATGCACCACTCTTCAAGAGGGTCTTGCCTAGACTGGCAGTGTGTTCACAGGCATTGGTCAGGTGACTGTGTCCATGAGAACTAGGAAGGTTGCGGGATCACAGGAAGGAAAAGGCTCCAGACAGGCCCAGTGTGGACCCAGGACCTCAGGCCAGTGGCTCTGTCTTAGCTCCTATCTGTCAAGGCACTCCCCAGAGACACCATGGAGAGGAGATAAATACCAATGTATGATTCCAGAAGCTTCCACCACTTTTCTGGTGCTGGGCCTGCCCCAGCTCTTCTGTAACTTCTGCATTTCACTTGGTCTCCTAGAATTCGACATTTGACTTCCACCCCTGGGGGCACCACCCAAGAGATGTTAACCCCTAGAACTTGTGATTCTGGGGGTGGTGCGTTGGACAAGGGCATACCATGCTCAGTGGTCCTGGGAGGGGCAGATCAGCCCCATCCTGCAGCCTCAAGCACAAGGTCACCATGACACCATGACACCCGAGCAAGCCCACTGCTGTGGCCCTCCATCTTCTCACCCCAAAATTCGGTGGACGTAGGCAGCCACTAAGATACCCTCTGGGGTGAGAGTTTGAAGTCCCATGTGCAAAGCGTTTGGCTTCCACTGCTCTGCTCAGGCTAGAGTCCCTCGGGGCCTGTCAGCTGAGGCTCTGAACTGATGTTTCAGCGAGGGGAGGACAGGGAGCGGGGGTGTGCTGGGTCCCCCCTTTGCCCCATCTTCCCAGGCATGCCGCTCCTTCCCACTCTGTTCAGACCGTCACATTCTTTCCCCTCCTCTCTGCCACTGAAGGGGCACCAGGGCCACCCACAGGGGGTGTTGGGGCCATGTAGAGTCGAATCCACTTGGCCCCCTGTACACTGCAGCCTGCACGCCACCCTGAGCCACAGACGGAGACCCTGTCGCAAAAAAACAGAAACAGAAAGCAGGGACAGTCCTGTGAGCCAAGGCTGGGCCTCTGTCCACAACTCTAGTTTCCACTGCACTGGAGGGGCGCTGTTATTCTCCTGGTCCCGCCTCACGTATACAGAGGAGCCAGGGCGTACAGACACGCTAGCAGAGCTCTGGGAATCAGTCGCAGCTCCCTGAACTGTGTAGGCCCGTTTGGAATATGTCGTCTGTACATTACTGTCTCCTCAGTGTCTTTCTAGGCGTGCCGACTATGGGCGGGAACATTGTCATTTGGTACTAAATGTTCATAAAGGCAATAGAAGACACGTCTAGCTTGAATAATCTGCAGGCAACAAACGAGGGCGCGACGGGTGGTAACACAGCGTATCCCATGTTTCAGGTGCAGCCAGCGCAGCACGTGTATCCTGCCCAGGTGCAGTACGTGGAAGGGGGAGACGCCGTCTACACGAATGGAGCCATGTGCGTGCTTCTCCCGCAGGCCACACCCAGAACCCTCTCCCTGACTCCAGCCTTTGCCACCTGGGGAGGCATTGAACAAATTCCTCTCCCTTATGCTTTTGGTGATGTGTTCACTAAATACTCTTAAAACACTATTAGAAACCTGGGCAACATCTCTACAAAAAATTTTAAAATTAGCCAGACATGGTGACGAGTGCCTAGAGTCCCTCCCAGCTAATCGGGAGGCCAAGGTGGGAGGATCGCATGAGCCCAGGAGTTGGAGGCTGCAGTGAGCTATGATCATGCCGGACTGATAGAGCAAGACCCTGTCCAAAAAAAAGGGAGCAGGGTGGGGGGTGAGGGATTAGGACATCATAACCCTGTGGAGATTTCAGAAATCACAGACTTTTGTACTTTTTACTTTTAGAAAAGATAGTCTTGGGGGTAAAAAAAAAAAAAAAAAAAAAGGCTAATCTTAACTCTTCATTCTGAAGTCAGTCTTTGAGATCCAGAAACCATCCACCTCTGTGTGGTTTTCCCTCGCCTCTGTTAAACTCTAGCTTTGTATAATGTTAATAGAACTTGATTTTCCGTGTTGCAATGCCGTCTAGAGTTTTCTGCTCTGTAACTGTGTGATGCTTGGGGCAAGAAAGTATGCGTCTCCCATGCAGCTCACTTTACTTTATATGTGAGTCCTTTCACCTGCTTGTCTGTTTCTATTTGGCCTGGATGCTCCCCTCACAAGTGCAGGGCTGTGCACGAGAACCTGGCTGTGACTTCAGGGTTGTGATTGGCGGAGTTATACGATTCTCTAAAGCATGATGTTGAAGGTTACGAAACACACAGAAACACAATAAGTGCATGTAACACCAGTGACATGGGAGCAAGGTCTGTAGGTCCTACCAAGGTCACGGTCTTGGTTTTGATATTGTACTACACAGTTATAGATGTCCCCCTGGGTTAGGGTTAGGGTACAGGAGTGCACGCCTCCGAGAGGTCAAAGGGGTCCTTCCTGCCACCCAGAGGGCCTGCCCCTAGGACGCATCACAAACCTTACTCACCGATAAGGGAAGGCCACTCCTGACCACAGCTGCATTACTCAAGTAAAACTTCACATTTTCGGTCTGGACAACATAGTCACTCCTTTAATCCAGATGTTAAAGGAAGATTAGATGAATTATTGGTATCACTTAGAAATTCTTTTTTCTTATGCAATCTCATTTATTTAAACGTTTTGTTTTGAAATAATCAGACTCCACAAGAAGTTCTGAAATTAATACACAGAGTTCGTGTACCCTTCCCCCCGCTTGCTCCAGTGGTGACACCATGCAGGACAATATCAAAACCTGGAAACCTACCAGCCAGGTGCGGTGGTGCACGCCCGTAATCCCAGCTACCGCTGTGGTGCACGCCTGTATTCTGAGGCTGAAGCAGGAGGATCACTTGAGCTCAGGAGGCTGAGGCTGCAGTGAGCTATGATTTTGCCACTGCACTCCAGGCTGTGCTACAGGAGACGCTGTCTCAAAAAAGCAAAACAACAAAAAAAACCCTAGAAATTGACATCGGGGTAAAACTTAACCAGCCTGCAGGCCTTATTCAGTTCTCCCAGTCTTTATGCACATGCTTTTGTGTGTGTGCTTGCATGTGGAGTACATGTGGCTTTGCATGTTCATGTGTGTGTGCCCTTGTGTGTGCGTGTCTATTTCTGTGCATTTTTAGCCCATGTGTAGATTTGTGTAACAATCCCACCGTCAAGACACAGAACTGCTCCATCTCCACACAGGAGCTCCCTCATGTGACCCATTTATCCACTTAAAATTTTAAGTTTTATTTTATTTTTTTTAAGAGCTAGGGTCTTGCGTATTGCCCAGGCTAAAATGCAATGGTGCGGTCACAGCTCACTGCAGCCTCAAAGTCCTGGGCTCAGGCAGTCCTCCCACCCCAGCCTCCTGAGTAGTTGGGACTACAGGCACGCACCACCACACCTGGCTTAATCTTTTATTTTTTGTAGGGATGGTTCTCTCTGTGTTGCCCAGGCTGGTCTCAAACTTCTGACCTCAAGCAGTTTTCCCACCTTAACCTCCCAAAGTGCTGCGATTACAGGCCTGAGCCACCACACCCGACCTAGAATTTTTTAGGGGTTAGTTTTCGATGAGTCAGCCTGTGGTCCTGAAGATTTTGCAACACGATGGCTCTGAACTTGTGCTGCATTTGAGTGTCATATGCCATGTCCAAATTGCTCCATATGTCTGGCCTCTCCGGGCTACAGCTTTTACATGATGTTTGGCTGGATATCGGTGAACTCAGACAAGGCATTTAAATGGGATGGCATCCCATGCGTGACTTCTCTCTTTCTAACAGACGAACGGCCTACACCTACAACCCCGAGCCTCAGATGTACGCCCCCAGCAGCGCAGCTTCTTACTTCGAGGCCCCAGGCGGCGCCCAGGTGACCGTGGCAGCCTCGTCCCCGCCAGCGGTCCCCTCCCACAGCATGGTGGGCATCACCATGGATGTCGGGGGGAGCCCCATCGTCTCCAGCACGGGAGCCTATCTCATCCATGGGGGGATGGACAGCACCAGACACTCCCTGGCCCACACCTCCCGGTCATCGCCAGCCACGGTATGTAAGAGGCTCTTGGGACCAGCGGGGTAGGCCATGAGTATTCTCGCAGCAGCGGCGGCAGGGACGGTGAGTAAGAGGCAGCCGGAGGCCTGTTGTCTGCTCTGGGCCCAGGCGGCCCCACGATGGAGTCGGGCCAGCCTCAGATGGGCCACGCAACCCTAGGCAGGCCTGCAGAGTTCTTTGAACTTCAGTTGGCCATTGGTATCAAGAGGAGGACAAGTCATGCGTCATGGGCTATTTGTGAAAAGGGAATGAATCAAGCATCTCTCCACTGGTGGATGCTGCAGCCGCCTTTGCTGTTGTCATGATTGTTATCATTGTTAATATCAAGCTCTGAGAGGCGTGGATGGATCCGTCCACGAGACGCCTGCACTGAATCCAGCAGGGGAAGTGTCCCTGCAGCCTCTGGCGAGTTCTCACTGCCAGGCCCCCATGCACAGTAGCTGCTTACCTGCTCTTCCAAAGTCTCCACGTTTAAAACTCCATTTCCCACGTTCACTTCTCATGTCTTTTCCTTCTTAAATTAACACAAAGTAAAATCGACTGTTCGGTGCACAGCCCTGTGAGTTTCGACATGGGTAGATTTGTGTACCATCAGGACACAGAACTGTGCAATGCCCTGAAAACCCCCTCGTGGTATTTCTTAACAGTCACAACCTCCCCCCATCCCCAACCCTTGGCAACCGCCGATCTGTTCCCTATTGCTGTAGTTTCATCTTTACCAGCGTGGTGTATAAATGGAATCATACAGATTGTGACCTTTTGAGACGCTTCTTGTACTCATTCTGGTGCCTTTGAGATTCAGTCAAGTTGTTGCATGAATCCGACTTGCTTTTTTTTGTTGTTGTTGTTACTGAGAAATATTCTATTACGCTACAGTTTGTTTATTCATTCACTAGTTGAGGGCCATTTGGATGGTTTCCAATTTGGGACGATTATGAATAAAGAAGCCTTAAATTTCACATGCAAGCTTTTGTAAGGATGTGTGTTTTCTTTCTTTTGGATATATACCTGTAAGTGGAATTGCTGCTGGCTCATACAGAAAGTGTATGTTTAACTTGATCAGAAACCACCAGTTTCCCAAGTGGTTGCACCATTTTGCATTTCCACCAGCAACATACAAGAGTTCCTCTTGCTCAGCTCCATCAGCAGCATTTGATGCTCCTGGTGCTGTTGGTATTGGCCATTCTAGTAAATGTGTGGTGGTACCTCATTGTGGTTGCAACTTGCATTTTCTTTATAGCTAATGAAGGTAAGCAGCTTTTCCTGTGAGTGTAGATACTGTAGTCAGGTGTCACTTCAAGTCATTTGTTTCTTTTTTAACTAGGTTGGTTTTTTTCTTATGGTTGAGTTTTTGAGAATTCTTTATATATTCTGGATACAAGTCTCCTGTCAGACATGTGACATGCAAATATTTTCCCTGGTCTTTAGTGTGTCTTTTCATTCTCTAGAGAGTGTCCTTTGCAGAGAAAAAAAAAATTTAATTTTGATCAAATCCAGTTTATCAGTTTTTCTTTTGTAGCTCATGCTTTCAGTGTCATGTCTAAGAACTCTTTGCCTATTTGCAAAGAGAAATCATGAAAATCATGAAGATTTTCTCCTGTTTCCTTTGAAAAGTGTTATAGTTTTACTTTTGTTTTGGGTTGGTTTTTTTTTTTTTTCTTTTTCTTTTCTTTTCCTTTTTTTTTTTTTTTTTTGAGACAGAGTTTTGCTCTGTCTCCCAGGCTGGAGTGCAGTGCATCTCGGCTCACTGCAACCTCCGCCTCCTGAGTTCAAGCGATTCTCCTGCCTCAGCCTCCCAAGTAGCTGGGATTACAGGTGCACACCACCACACCTGGCTAATTTTTGTATTTTCAGTACAGACAACGTTTCACCATGTTGGCCAGGCTGGTCTCAAATGCCTGACCTCAGGTGATCCACTCACCTTAGCCTCCCAAAGTGCTGGGATTACAAGCATGAGCCCCCGCACCTGATCATAGTTTTACATTTTACATTTAGATCTGTTTCCTGTCAAGTTAACATTTGTATAAGATATAAGGTTTAAGTTGAGGTTTTGTTTTTGTTTTTGTTTTTTGGCATATGAAACAACACGCTACTCTAGCCTCGTTTGTTGAAAAAGACTGCCCTTTCTCCGCTGGGTCGTTCAGCACCTTTGTCAAAATGTTTGGGTTTATTTCAGAGTGTCCTGTTCCATTCCATTGGGGTGTCTGCCTGTCCCTTTACAAATAGCATAGTCCTAATCACTATAGCTTTGTAGTAAGTCTAAACTTGAGTAGAATGGTTCCTCCCACTTTATTCTTCAGTATTGTGTTGGCTATTTGTATAAACTCAAAGTTTCTGTATAAGTTTAGATCAATTTATCTGTATCTACAAAAAAATCCTACTGAGATTTTGATTAATTTGCACTAAACCAATGTGGGGAGAATTCCCACCTTTACCATGTTGAGGCTTCCAATCCATGAACATGGTATGTTTTCTCCATTTGTTTAGATTTTTTATTTCTTTCATCAGCATTTTGTAACTTATACAAAATTCTGTACATGTTTTGTTAGATTTATATCAAAGTATTTCATGTTTGGAGAGCTATTGTAAATAGCATTGTGGGTTTTCTTGGCATTGATCTTTAAATTTATGTTTCTAACTGTTCATTTCTAGGATTTGAAAATGGTTGATTTTTGACTGTTTATCTTGTATCCTGTAATCTTGCTGAACTCACTTTTTAGTTCTAGAAGCTTCTTGTTGCCTGCAAATATAACCACTTTTTTCTTTCTTTCCAGTATGAACAAAAAGAAATTTCATTTCTTTTTCTTGCCTTTTTGCACTGGCTAGGACTTGCAGTGAACTGTTGAAAACAGGGGTGGCAAAAATGGTCATCCTTGCCTTTTTCCCAATGTTAAGGGAAAAGCCTTTAGTACTTCACTGCTAAGTATGTGATGTTAGCTGTAGGTTTTTCACAGATGCCCTTTTTCAGATTGAGGAAGTTCCTTTCTTTTTCTAGTTTTCTGGAAGTCTCTATTATAAATAGATGTTGAATTCTGCCAAATGGGGGTTTTTTAAATTTATGTAAGCATATTTTTTTCTTCATTAGGGTGTTGATATAATGGATTGCATTGATTGACTTTCAATTACACAATAACTTCTTATTTTGGTGTAAGGCTAATCTCCTGAGATAGAGGGTAATGGTCTAGCCTTGTCTCTGTTTTTTTGTTTGTTTGGTTTTGGTTCTGGTGTGTTTGGAGTCACCCTGGCATCAGAGAGGCCCATGAATCTTGCTGTCCTCTCTCTTCCTATGTCCAGAGTGACCCCCAGGCCCTGGCTCTGGGGACAGGCATAGTGCCCCACGCCTCCTCCCTCTCTTCTCGGGAGGAGTCTTCTTTCTAGAGGCTGTGAAATTATAGGGTAGTGTCTGCTGCTTCTACCCCTAGCCACTTAGTGCCTCGGTGCCATTAGCACCCCAGGCCGGCAGCTCGGGCAGACCAGACATACTTCTCCCCCATGGGATTGGCTGGGTGGAACTAGGTTTAGTTGTTACGGATCAGAAAGCTTTCCTCACAGACTACGGTAATTGTCACAAATGTGGCATATTTGACTTAGCAAACTACATCGACTTACAACAGTAAAATAGACTGGGATTGCAAGTGACAAATTTACGGAGAAACAGCAACGTTCTCTGTGGTTTCAGAATTACCTTGTTGCAGCAAACATGCTCCTCAGACCCTGGACCACCACCCTGGAACTGTGGTTTGTTATCTGGATTTCTCTGGAAAAATCGAATTATTAATTCAATTAGAAATCCATGAACGGGCTATGTTTTCTCACTCTCACACACACACACACACACACACACACACACCCCACCAAGCTCTGGGGGAGTCATCATCTTGGACAGGAATCTCATTCCTGGCTTCTGACTGCTCTGGTGTTTATTGGCTTGTTGTTGGCATGAGAACATCCAACAAGGATGCCACGGAAATTCGAGAGACTTTCCGAGAGCCAAGAACAACAATGGCCCTGAAATTGCAACAGAAATACGACTGCTGGACCCAGCATTTGATGTCTACCAGTTCGTTCATGTCCGAGTTTTGTTTCTTGGGACTATCGCTTAGTCCTAAAGACAGAGCACGAAGGCTGAAGCAAGTCCTCACTTACAGCCTCCACGAGTGATTCCAGACTCTTGGTGACCAATTTTCTCGAGTATTTATTTCCAGTTAAAATGTCGTCCGTATTATAAATCTCAAAAGTTAATTGCCCAAATGGTGAGTTTTTGATACACACATTTTCTATTGTGCTTTTTTTCACTACATGGAGCAGGATACTAAGAAAGAGACTCCTCCACCCTGGGGGCTGCCCTCAGTGGGCCCTTCCTCCCGCAAGACCCAGGGGCTACATGAGGCCGTGCTGTGAAAACACACAGCCTCTGAGGGTCACACTGTAGGCCCTGATGAAGAAAAAAGGCCTACCTAGTTTTTATCTTTTTCAAAATTGTTCTCATACTTTAATGAATCTTTTCTCATTTTATTAGTTTAAATCCGACTAATACAACAGAAGATTTAAAAAAAGTCTAGTGGATTTTAATTGCAGCTGAAGTTAAAATGTCCTACTGTATTTTATTAGTTTAACAAGCTAAATATTCTGCCTTTGACAGCTCTCTTTTTACCCAAGAAGGGTGTCTCATGATACACCATACATAATACCATTAAAAGAGAAACTTTCGGTAAATTAAACAAGTGTCTATCTGAGCAAAGACTAACTCTCCCGTCAGGCAGCCCTCAGAACTAGAAGAGGTTCAGAGAGCACCCCTTCCTGGTGGTCCATGGAGGTGGCTCGCGGAGGCCTATGGCACCTCCACGCAGCAGCACAGCTCATGACAGAATCATCAGTCACACCCATCTCTTTTTCTGTAGCCTGGCTTTTCAGTGAAGATGTAGAATGAAAAGTCACCTGGGCACAGTGGCTCATGCCTGTAATCCCAGCACTTTGGAAAGCTAAGGTGGGAG